GTTTCCATTACAGTTTTGCGAAAAACACCAATTTCGATACGGCCGAAAAACCACCTCATCCTAGCGCAAAAACCCTTTTGTCGAATTTTTTTTTTAATTGACGTGTTTCCATTGAGCAAATTTATTTTCGAAATTCTAATTTGCGCATTTTCATGGTCAATGGAAACACAGCTACTGTTCACAACCACGACGAAATAAGAATGTCTTAGTTTGGCTAATTTTGCTTTCCCTGATGAATTCTGTTTTTTTTTTTGTTACAGTTTTGTTTCAGTTGTTGACTAATTTAAACACACACTTGATGCTTTAATAAGATCAGGATGAAGCAAGACAGATGYAACAAATAAGCTGTAATGTGAGTTTATTGTTTTGGAATGGTCCAAAAGGATTAGTTTAATTTCTCTGGGCTATAAATGGAAATATGACCATTAGAGAGGTCTTGTTAGGAATAAGAAAACCTTATGTTTTAATCTGCTACAATCTAGATTAAATAATCTCCACATGCTGATGGTGAAGTTACACTAGAAAAATCATTGCTCTCTGATTGTTTCTGCTCCGAGTCAGAAACTAAYCCTCTGATCCAACGTGTCCTTTGGGCTTTTGCTCATGAATCCATCCTGTGTGTGTTGAGTGATTTATTTCTCCATRTGTTCGTTTAAGAACGTGTCAGAATGAAAGTTTGGCGACGTGTTCCTGCACATCTATGTTTCTTGATGCATTTATTGTGTTTATTACAAAGAAATAAAAAATTAGAACTGAGATGTTCAGTGGGGAGGTACTTTTTATTTAAGAGTTGAAATCAAAATMTAATTCAAATTTTGAGTTTTAAAATTTGGAGTTTTATGATGCCGCTTTTTAAAAATGACATTTTTTTACAGACCGGTTGTTTGTAAGTAATGAGTAATGAAACCCCTCCACCTCCCCACAGACCCTCACGTGGGTTTAGTTGACCAGGAGCTCCTGGTACTGCTCAGAGCGRAGGAAACGGCCAAAGGAGTCTTTCTCCATCAGGGCGTAGACCCGCTTCTGAGCCAGGTCAAAGGTGGAAGGAGAGAGATCCACCAGGTTCCTCAGGGTCACGTCTTTGGTGACGTGGTCGATGTTGACCTGGTGAAAGGAAACAGGTGGTGATGATGAGGAGGGTGGAGAACAGGACAGGTATTTATAAACCWAAAAATGGAATGGTTTTAAATCTTATTTGGAAAACAGAACTTTCTCTGTTCATCTTGACCAACGCTGTTCTGGGGCTAAACCTTTAAAGCACGGCGTTCCCCAAGGATCAATCTTAGTTCCTATTTTATTTGTCTTATATTTATTGCCTCTTGGTCAGATTGTTCATAAATTTAATATTTCCTTTCACTGCTTTGCAGATGATGTCCAGATTTATATGCCCCYTAAGCTACAAAATGGTAYGAATGAATCTCTTCATCTATTGACWGACTGTTTGGCTGAAGCTAAATCTTGGATGGAACAGAACTTTCTTCACCTCAWTCAAAGTAAAACTCATGTTATATTATTTGGTCAAAACTTTCAGACTACAAATTTMGATCAGATKCTTGGTCCTTTAGCTCAGTTCTGTCAGACCTCTTCTAGAAACCTTKGTTTCACTTTTGATACCTCCTTAAAATTAGATAAACAAGTTRGTTCTGTCGTTAAATSTGGTTTTTATCACTTGCGGATTTTRGCAAAAGTTAAATCTTATTTCTGTTTTAAGGACTTTGAAGGACTTATCCATGCCTTCCTTACATCTCGTTTGGATTATTGTAATTCATTATACAGCGGGTGAAATAAGTATTGAACATGTCACCATTTTTCTCAGTAAATATATTACTAGARGTGCTAATGACATGAAATTTTCACCAGATGTTGGTAACAACCCAAGTGATCCATACATACAAAG